TTTTAAGCATTTTCTAAATAAAATTAATCTGTTCTTATCAGCTTAATTGCGGGGTTGGGCTGATAAGAGCAGATGCGGCTGTCTAATGGCGGCATCTGCTCTTGCTGGCTTGATATGGCGGGAACAGATGTGGCAGATGACTCCATTGCCCGGCGGCACGGGCATTGCACTGACAAATCTACTTTAAACGACGCAGCGGCATTCTTGTACTATAAAGAGTGGTCAGCGGCGCCTCAATCTCTATTTCCATCTCTAACCAACCATATACCTTTTGTATTAAAACATTAGCTCACTCCCTTAACCTTAATCTGTTCTTATCAGTTTAATATCTGATACGCCCCCCCCCCTTTGTTCTGCCAAGGTGCCTACTACGCTGTCAGCGACGTAGTGTGTTCCGACCTGTGTCTATGAATCAGGGAGGTGGGAACGCAAGTCTCCCCCTCGGTGTGCCAGTGACATATTGTGTGCTCCAAACTATCAGTGCTCATGTAACAGGGAGGTGGGACCAAAGTACCACCCTCGTGTACAATGTCCGTGTGACCGCACCAATGTATGAGTGGAAAGAGGAGAGCCCTCATGACTGTGTAGAGGGTTGAGAGGTGGAGATGTGTACCACTTAAATAATATCTAGTATAGACAATTATTGTATTTATTTAAGCATTTGTGATTTGAGGTAAGAACAATTAATGTAATAACATGTATTAATGACGATAAATATTCGTAGTTCGCTGTTACTAGCGGCACTGAAACTGATTCGCCGCTGACCCACCGGAAGAACGCGCACAACACCCGCACACAACAGATCGCCGGCCGACCACACAATCCAAGCACGACTGCAGCGTCATAAATCGTAGACCCGGTATATATAGTAGGGGAGTAGAGCCTGCTTTCAGAGAACAGACATCAACAGACGGATGGAAAAAAACTCTGCATTTTATACACTGTGCATGAAATGCATATAAAAATGACCTGCAGCCTTTACAAAATTGACAAAACTTAGTTATTATAAGGATTGTATGAATATCATATGTAGTAACTGTGACAATGCGGAAAGTTGCAACTCCACAAAGTGTCTTACCTGTAAAGGAATATTTTTTGATTTTTTATCATTCAGAAGAAACAGAGTTTGAAACCCTACTATCAAATGGCATGTATCAATCTGCCACAGGTTTCAGTTACAGGCACCAATGTTACAGCTGTGAAGTGCAGCTTCAGTAATTCTGGTGATTCTATGATAGATTGGGTGGACATACAGAAAATACTAAGCAAGTTCGGGAGGAGTTGGTTCAGAAGTTAGAAGCAAGCACCAAAGCATTGGAAACTGATACAGTAGGGCCCCGCTTTTTCGGCCCCACGCACTCAACAGCTGGGTCAGAGAAGTGCGTCCGGGGCCATTTGCATTAGTGTCCAACATTGCCATGGCGTACAAGCAAATGTAAGTTGTAACCGCTCATCTGGAATTAGTTTGGTTTTGTTATTTGTTTCTGTGTGTTTCCAGTATGTCAAAACCTTTCTTTAAGATTTAACACCACTTGCCGAGAACAAGGATGGACTTCAGCCCTAAGAGCTAGAAGTCGTGTTTATGCCATCTGGGCAGAATGTTTGGGGATCTGGTTAATATCCGATCTCGACTCTGCCTACGACAGACAGAGAAGTGCTTTTAGGAGCAAGTGTGGAGGATCGTGTTGTGCGGTCCGTGAGAGGTCTCTCTCTCCGTCATGAGAGGGGGGGGGGGG